AGGAAATCACTAACCCTAAACCCCAACTACTCTAAAATCCCTAAGCCTAAACCCTAAATACTTTAAACCCCTAAGCCTACAAATGTTCAGGCTCTGGGGCTCATGTCTCGGAGCCGCTTTAAGCTTTGGGCTGGCTTTTCTGCTCGGGTTTAGGGTTTCAATTCATCACAAATTCCATGAACCCTTAGCAGACTTTGTACCTGAAACAAAACCCTGAATCCCAAACCCCTCACCCTCAATCTGTGACCCTCATCCCTCAACCTGAAATCCGTCTGCCTCAGCCTGCTTGCTCAACCCATGGAAGCTAAACGGTGACCCTAGCCCAAAACGTCGAAGCCTGTCCGCGCAATTCGCAGGTCCTTGTGTCAGGTTTGGGTGGTGTAACCCTAAAACCCAAATGCAATCCCCATGGACCTCTGATTGGGAGTGTGCTTGCGGTTTTGGAGTTTTGAAAGTTCGGGCTTGGGCCCACGAGTGCTGAAATTGGCAGTCCCAATGTTTAAGTTTAGCTTGCTAGCTGCTACTGACTCGAAGCAGAAGTGCAATCATCACTGCGATACGACATGTCACGACGAATAGCAGTGGTAACGAGAAATGACGAGATCACCATCTGCTGCACAAGCCAATCACCCTCATAGTCACGAATCATGACCGGGTTTTGCATGCAGACCCTAAGCCCTACACTCTAAACCCCTAATTAGACCCCTAAACCCTCAAGAAAGAGACAAATACAAATTGCTTGTCATTGTTGGTAACCATGGCCTCGACAACCACAGAAAGCTGGCCAACGCCGACACCCAAATGCCTAGGACTCTGATACCCAAAAGCCTAAGGCCGAGGAAAATCCATGTATTCAACTCTAAACGGTTAAACTGTCAATTTCAGATGGCACCCCAACCCTAAAATCGATGTGCCCCTAACTGGATATGCGAAACCATATTACAAAAAATCTTCCTGTAGCGGAAAACTGCCGAGTTCCAAGCAATTCCCCCAAACCTTTAACGTCCCCAGGACAGCCACGGTTTAAGGTTTAGGGGTTTAGGGGTTTAGGGTTTAGGGTTTAGGGGTTTAAGGTTTAGGGGTTTAGGGTTTAGGGTTTAGGGTTTAGGGACCGAATACCAGCACACGACCCAGCACGCAGCAGCTACCAAATGCCCAACTTTCCCAGGACAGCTTTCTCCGACAGACCCTAAACCCCTAACCCTAAGCCCTAAACCAGAAAACCCTAAACCCCAAACCCCTAAACCCTAAGCATCCTCGGGGATGATCGTCAGGAAAGGAAAGCAGTCGGTGGCTTTCCTCCGGCTCTCCTGATAACACGAGCACCATTCAGGAAGACCGGGGGGGACACCATAGGGGCCTTAATCATTGGAACAGGGTTCCTTTTTGGGGGCTCTATATCAGGGTTTGATTGCCATGATCTCCTGCCTCTCTTGGCATGATGGTGAGACCGTGGGCACGTGGGGGCTTTAGAAGTGGCGGTTGACCACGTTCTCATTGCCTGTATAAGGGTTATATACTATAAGGGTACAATAGTATAGGGGTCCTCATAATTAGAATAGGGTTTTGGGGCCCATTATACTATAATTGTATTAAGGAACTCCCAAAATAGTATAGGTAAGTATTTAGGCCTCTATAGTATCTCTCAGGAGCTTGTGGTCCGGAGGTCAACACGTGGGCAGCAAAAAGACGACAATTCCGAATTCCGGATCTCTGTCCAGTGTATCTTGCGCAAAAGATGCAGTGACTTGGATAGCTGGTTTACAGGCTGGATTTTCACAATTTATGGCCATCTCTCGATCGATCGATGAATCTATCCTATCTATCTAGCAATCCAACCGTCTTTCTATCTATCTACGTATCTATGTATCCATAAACCGTTGTAGACTCCTTGTCTCTGTCTCTTGCAATTGTACTCGTGGCATATGGTTTTTGCGGCATAGAAATTCAGAAAGCACTAAAAAGGCATGACGAAGTCACCGTATTCAAAATCTCGAGGCGCTTCCCTGAAGATCACGACGTTGGGGTTCAGGCTTATAGGTTTCAGGGTATATACGGAACCAGTAGCAAAGGTCAAGCAGTTTCTCCTCGGAAGATTACGCCCAGCCCCATCGTGCAAATGGAAGCATTGCGCGGAACCTTTTGCTAAGAGGAAGGTCAGTCACAATCTGAGCTCCCAATTCCCACAATCAATCGCAAACTACACTGAACCCTGGACCTTAAACTGCACCTCACAACCAACCTAGGCCCCAACACCCTTAAATTTTTGGGCTTACGAAACTAAGTTACTGAGGCATGCTCACGAAGATTCCATGAACCAAACACCCAAACTTACCGGTTAGGGGTTTAGGGTTTCAGGTTTCGGCCCTAAGCCGTAACCCCTGAATCTAAGAGTACTGGGCTCCGGCAGAGGTCCAGAGTTTGAGCTTCTACGCATAGCGACGCGCGACGCCCCAACACCCAAGACCCTACCAGGACTCGCCCCAAGAGCCCGGCACTGTTCATTCAAGTATAATCGGGGGTAGTTGGAGGGTTTAGGTCTAGGTCAACCCCAGCCGCAAAGCCCACCTGAACCCTTAAACCCCTCAACACTCAAACCCGAACACTGATATAGGAGCCTTAATGATTAGAATAGGGTTGGGGGTATACTATACTATAGATATAGTGAGGAGCCCCTAAATGGTATTGGTAATTTTTTAGGCCCCGGTATTAGACCCCTAACCGCTGCAACCTGACCCTGGTCGCGACTCCTGGCGTCGAGACACGGGTGCACCGCCGAACAGGAAGCTGTAGCCTCGTCCCGGGACCCTTGAGGCCTTGGGGCCTTTAGGGGTGAAGCGAGACCCAGGGAGAGGGTTCAGGGAAAAAGGGAGGGAGGGGGGAGGGGAGAGAGAGATAGAGAGAGAGAGAGAGAGAGAGAGCGAGAGAGAGAGTGCGAGCTCGAGGGCGGGACCAACTACCGAGCATACTGGGGTGGAAGTGAAGCTGACCTCAAGAGAACAACTACTAGCAAGAATGTTTTCACTCATGTTCGAGCTCCTTACCCTCAAACCCTAGCCCCTATAAGGCTAAACCCCTCAACCCCTAAACACCCCTACACCCTAAGCCGCTAAACCGATAAAACCTAAACCCTTAAACCCCGCACCCCTAAACCCTCAAACCCCTAAGCCCTACACCCTTGAACCCTAGAACCCCTAAATTCCGAAACCCTAACCCTAAACCCTAAACCCCAAAATCCCTAAACCCCTAAAACCCTGAACCCCTAAACCCCTAAACCCCTAAAGCCCTAAACCCCTAGAAACCCTAGAACCCCTAGAACCCCTAAGCCCTAACCCTAAACCCCTAAACTCTAAACCCCTAAAACCCCTAAACCCCTAAACCCCTAAACCCCTAGAACCCCTAGAACCCCTAAGCCCTAAACCCCTAGAACCGCTAGAACCCCTAAAACCCTAAACCCCTAAAACCCTAAACCCCTAGAACCCCTAGAACCCCTAGAACCCCTAAAAACCCCTAGAACCCCTAGAACCCCTAGAACCCCTAACCCCTACAAACCCCTAAAAACCCTAGAACCCCTAGAACCCCTAAAAACCCCTCAACTGCCCCCAGTGATCTTCTGCTCACAGCTTCGATCTGAGGCCAGGGCTCGAAGGGACCTCTGCTGAGTCATGAGCTTCGGGTTTGGGTTTTTGGGTTGAGGGGTTTAGGGTTTGGGGCTTAGGGTTGAGGGGGTTTAGGGGTTTAGGGTTTAGGGTTTGGGGGTTTAGGGGTTTAGGGGTTTAGGGTTTAGGGTTTAGGGGTTTAGGAGTTTAGGGGTTTAGGGGTTGGGGTTCGGGGATTTACGGTTTAGGGTTTAGGGCTCAGGGCATTGGTTCCGGACTGAAGCCTTGAGGCAGTTCGGGCGTCATGGGACTTGACACTGACACTTGAAAGCAGGTATGGGGGGTGTGGACTTAGTGGACTTTGTTCCGGGTCTGGTAAAAAAAAGCTGGGGCGAGTCGGCAGGCAATGCATACATCGACTCGCTTCCTGCGTACTTCATCGTGTGGTTTTCTTAGGGTTAATTAGTAAATTAGGGTTTAGGGAGGTATCTTGCTTGGATCAAAATCAAAGCTTCAGCACTGACGCCAAAATTCCACAGGCCCACAGCCCGAATCCCGTGAACCATCATGCATTGCAAGAGCCGTCTTGCGCGTTCGATGCACAGCCTACAGCACCCATCCTCGCTTCTACAACACACTCCCGCAGACCATGTGACACCGTAGCGCAGTTTATCGGATGGTACCACGCGACACCAGGCTTTGACAGTAATTTCACGGAGTGCTATGCTGTAGTTGCGAAACAGCAGTCTTTCGACCCAGCGGAACAACGTCGAGCTAGACGTGAGGAGCAATCGCTAGTTTAAACTATGCTTTGGCGGCAGTACACACCCGCATGAATCCTGTATGGGAGTTTCCGAAAATTGGGGGTACCTTATTTTGGGGTCCCTATAATAAGGATCCTACTATTTAGGGTACTATATTAGGGTCCCCTATTTTCGGAAACTCCCATATGAGCTGTAGCCGGAACTTGATGCCCAACCGTATATGTAGTGTCAAGAAGTGGCAACAGCAAAGTAATGACACCACTGCCTTGCTTCTAAACCCCTAATTCCTCAACCTCATGCCTGAGCGGCAAAGGGGTGGAGGAAAATCAACACCCCTTTTCTCCGTCGGATGGACTTTGCGCGCCAGCTCTTGGCCAGAGGTTAGCGTCGAAAATTATATCGGGGCTGTTATACTACTGGTTGGTACATATGTATATCTATAGATATCTATATATACACACATACAACTACATACTTGTCATAATCAGTATAGTAATGACAAGGCAGCTTCGGACACACTATGCGCAATTTTTCTGGCTTTCATAGTACACGAAAACTCCCTGACACTCTCATTCAGCCGTCTGTATATATTTGGGACAGTGGCATGCACGCCGCTTGAATCCCTAAACCCTAAACCTCACAACTCATCCTCGCAGTGTGTCTTGATGGTGACGTCGGAGGTGGCGTACGTCACACCTGGGTGGTCTTGGATCTCCTTTCAAGCCCGAACCCTGCATTTTGGTCAGTCCTAGGACGATAGAAGCTAATCTTCAGAATACTTTCGAGCCCTAAATATCCTAAACTCTAAATTAAAACCGCAAGCCCTAACACCATCTAAAACCCCAACCCCCAAGACCCTAAACCGTAGAAACAAATAATCCTAGACACAAGTCAGGCAAAAGCCATCGCCCATCTGGTCATCGTCCAAGAATGCCTGGTCACTCTGGTCGATTTCGCCCTCCAAGACCTTGAGTTCTCAGGGGTGCATTATAAGCCCAGGTCCCTTACAACGAGGATCCTACTTTCCAGGGTCTATAAGCCCATACCCATACTGATAGACTATAGAGGCCTGAAGAAATTGAAGAGGGTTTGGGGCATATGTAATATGGAACTTACTCAGGCCCGTTTCTTGCATTCAGAACTCGCTATACCCGAAACCGCTAGTTAAATCCCTATAGCTTTAAGCTCCGATCCCTGAGCCCTAAAGCTTCCCCACCTTGCCAGCACAGCTGGAGCAAGAGCCTGCGCGGCAGGAGTAGGGCAGCTCAAGCCCCTCCTCCTCAGCCTGCAATGTTCTTGGAGAGCAGGTTAGGGTTTAGGGCTTGTGCCTTGGGCTTTAGGGCTTTGCGCCCCTGCTTGAAATACTACAGCATACAAAAACTATGTAGTGCTTTCAACGGCCAGACCTGGTCCAAGATGTACACGTCTTCAGGACACTCGAAAGATTCCTGAGCTGCTCTTTGTTCCCGACCTTCCACATCCGAAGGCAAACCCTGAAACGCGACTGGGTGCAGAGATTGGGGTGTAGGATGGTGTAGGAATCACGCCCGAGAAGTTTTAGCCGAATGCTAGCAGGACACGGTGCCATCAGGAGTCTCCAGTGTCACCTTGAAGTGGGCAGGCACACCCGGGCGAGCCGGAACAGTGTTAACGATCGCTGGCACATTGCCGGAGACAAAGGCACCACCCGACAAGGCCTTGCAGCCCATGTGCACGCTCTGCTGAGACACAAAGCTCGGCTGGCTTGGTGTCCAGAGGCTGCGAAGCAGAGCCACGCAGCATGCAGCGGCCGCAAGCACTGGCAAGGAACGACTCTGGGAAGCCATGACGACACAAGAAGCGTCGACTTCTTTTTAAGTGTCAAGGTGTGCAATACCCTCCGAAGCTTGAGCAAAGACAGGCAAGTTGCGCTCCCTCCTCAGGTAGCCTTATGGCTTTGGCTCTGTATTTAATCACACGTGCAGTATAGGCTTTAGCAGTTGAGGTTCTGTGTCATCAGGACCTGCCATAGCACCTCAGTTTGGCAGATTGCGCACCACTACAGGGGCCTGAATGACTAAACTAAGGTGTTGCGGTATATTACAGTATTCAAAAAAAGTGTGTGTGTGTGTGTTTGTGTGTGTGTGTGTGTGAATGTGTGTGTGTGTGTGTATGTGTGTGTGTGTGTGTGTGTATGTGTGTGTATGTGTGGAGGGATGTTACTGCTCACTAGTCCGACCCCTTTACTATTGGGGCCTTAATGCCTTAAAATCAGAATAGGGTTTTGGGGCTCATTATGGTGTAAGTATGATAAGGAACCCCTAAAACAGTATAGGCAATTATTGAAGCCCCTATAATAGCCTCGAGTCGACTGTTAGGCCATCCCTGAGGCCTGCATTACTCGAGAACTGTCGATCAGAGGCTCCCTGGATGATGTCTGAAATCCCCCGCCCCCACGGTCTCGGTAAGGCGGGACGTCGAAAATACCCGACCTGTACAGGCCCTAATACATAAAGATATATTCGTATATACCTATATATATATATATACATACATATATATATATATATATGTACGCACATAAGGTATATCTACATATGTATTCTTCATACCTATCATCATCATAATAGCAATCATAATGGTAAGGCCCGTACCATGATTGTTCTCAACATTTTCATTATTCTTGCTATTTTTATTATTATGATTCCTCTTCGGTCTGGTAACCGTAAGAAGAAGAATAGGCAACATCATAATAATAGGAATAGTAGGAGTAATTCATAAGAATAAGAAGAATACTCAGAATAATAATTGTAGTGCAGTAGGACCCTCATTATAGGCCCGAGACGCTGATAAGTTCTTTTTCCGTAGGAACCTCGTTCTAGGCCCTATTACAGAAACCTATACTGAACTTGGAACCCTAGCACAAATTACAATTCTAGCTGTTTCTTAGGTGTTATAATAACCAAAAATTCAATTTTTTAAGTACACCTAAGAAACCTCTCAAGTTCAAGAGATGACTGCAATGCGAGTCGCTCCGTCGATCTCCTTAGATGGGGCTTTTCAGTTGTAGGGTTCGTTCAGGGTTGGAGGTTCAGAGTGTGCACTTTTCGGGTTCAGGCGATCCTTCAACTCTTTGCTGTTGCTGTAGCAAAGGGCTACCGAAACACACCTGGAAGGGGGATGTTGGAACTACTCGCACATGCTTTTGAAGGGTTTTGACGTTTTGAGTTCAGGGTTTAGGCTTTCCGGGTTTAGTGCTTCGGAATCAGGCTCGGTGGGTGTAGAAATAGACGTTCTTCTGGTGAAGAGCTAGAAGGATTTCTGGCTTAAGGGCTAAAGTTTTGAGTTCGGAAGTTGCGGATGAGCGCCGAGACCCCAAAGTCTGAACCGTAGCGGGGAGACCCCAAAGTCACCCTAATTATAAAGCCCTAAGAATCTCTAAACCTGTTACAGAAAATGCAGTATCCCTATAGTAGCCGTGCAGTAGCCTTATAGTGCCCTTATAGTCGCCTTCGAATACCCTTAGAGTAGCCTTATAGCATATACCCTTATAGTCGCCTTATAGTACCCTTACAGTCGCCTTATAGTATCCTTCTAATACCCTACAGCTCGCAGCCTGTGAGTGGCAAGGAGCATCTTCCAGGATGCTCTGTCGAACATCTGCCAGTGTCGAGGCCTCGTTGACCTGCATTCGGCTTCTAGCCCAATGGGTTTAGGGTTTAGAGTTTTAGGGTTTAGGGTTTAGAGTTAGGGTTTAGGGCGGCTAGGGTCCAAGGATCATTATGGTATATACTTAGACCCCAAAATACCCTATAAGTATGTACCCTAATAATACTTGGACCCTTTGGGCAGAGAACATGCGAGTTTCCGAAAATTGGGGAGCCTCCATGTACCTATATAGTCTACACTTAGGCCTTGAAGAAGTCTCTATATAGGTACTTTAAGGCTTGAGTATATTTGATCTGGGAGTTTCCGAAAATAGGGGGCGCCTTAATATAGTGTCCTAATTAAATGGTGGGATCCTTATTCTAAGGACCCCAAAGAATGTACCCCCAAATTTTCGGAAACTCCCTTATGTGGGTTAGAGCCTTAGGATGTTAGGGTTAAAGGAAACTGGTCTAGCGCTTCTTAAGCGACTATTCAGGTTGGTATTCGGGTTCTACATATCAAGCTCCTGTTTCCTATACAGTTGGCATGTTAGGGGAGCCTTGACATCGTCCCCTCAATCGTAGGATACTTATTATTATAAGGACCCCAAAGAAGGTGCCCCTAATTTTCGGAAACTCCCTTATGTGGGTTAGAGCCTTAGGATGTTAGGGTTAAAGGAAACTGGTTTAGCGCTTCTTAAGCGACTATTCAGGGTTGGTATTCGGATTCTACATATCAAACTCCTGTTTCCTATACAGGGATGTTAGGGGAGCCTTAACATCGTCCCCTAAGTAGTAGGATCCTTATTATAAAGGCCCCAAAAGAAGGTACCCTTATTTTCGGAAACTCAGTTTAGCGCTACTTAAGCGACTACTCAGGGTTGGTATTCGGGTTCTACGTATCAAACTCCAGTTTCCTAAACAGTTGGGATGCTGGTCGTGGCTTCTTCAGTTTCGAAATCCACAGCAAACGAACTCAGGTATCCAGAGCACTTTGCAGAAATCCGCTCTCCGAAGTGCAACTTCTCGTCACAGAACCTGTGTGGCAACTGCTGAGGGTCAGCGCAGAAACGACGACTGCCTGCCACACGGCTCTCACTACCTTACAGCATGGCACCATAGGGACCCTTACGGCAGCAGAGTAGGGGCCTTAATGCCCATCACAAGGACCTAATAAGGCCTAGTTAAGGAAGCAAAGTCCCCTGACCCTTCCCCCCTACCCCCTAAAATCCCTATGATGACACTTGAGCATCCGAAACCAGGTCTTAGGCCAATCACGCCTTGTGGAGACGTTTGGCAGAGAGCTCCGCGGCTTTCATGACCCTAAACCCCTAAACCGCAAAATCTAAAACTTTAGCCTAAAACTCGCTTGCAAGCTCGAGATCCTTCCTGAACCGTGAAAGCCTAGTCCTGAAACCCACTTGAAGGTTCATGTGTAGTTCGAAGTGGGGTTATAGGGCTCCTTTAAAGGGGTCTATAGCGATTCTATAAGGGTATAGGGGCTAGTTAGGGTCTGCTTGGGTAGTTATAAGTGGAGTTACAAGTAGGGTAACTATAGCAATAACCCATATCAGTGGATTTATAATTCCATTTTTAACTACCCATGAACCTCCAAGCAAGTGCTCTGGTAGCCTCGACACCGCCGAGAACCCGTTCCTCCAGGCATATGCCTTGCCGGTGTGGCCCAACTTTAGGCTTAGGGTTGGCTTAAGGCTTGAGGGTTCAAGGATGGAGGTATGCAGGGCTTCGGGGTTTAAGGGGTTTAGAACTTCAGGGCTTAGGGCTTTGTGGCTGAGGCCTTCAAGGCTTGTTAGGATTCGGTGCTTTGGTGGGGTTGAACCAACACGGAAATACAACGCAGACTATATTCTAGCTAGGGCTTGTTCCTATGAGTTGCAGGGGTCAGGGATTGGGCTTCGTGGTAGAGTAAAAGCCAGAAAGTTGGAATATGGCTATCCTAACCCTTCTATGGTAAATTATGAGGTATCCTACCCTGAAACCATATTCCAACTTTCTGGAGTTCCCTTTAAGGTCGCAGATCAACGGCGACAACATGCCCTGACCAAGCCAGCTCCTTTGGAATTGGCTGTTTTGTCTTAGGGCCTCAAGGGTTGTTTCGTGTTTGGCGCTGCTACTTGAATACATTAGTAATAATAGTAATAATAGTAATAATAATAATGATAGTAACAATAGTAATAATAGTAATAATATAGTAATAATATAGTAATAATATAGTAATAATAGCTGCTAGTCACAGTGACGATGACAGTCATTATGAGCAACCGTGAGGAGATACTAAGGACAAGTCGTGAAAGTCGCCCTTACATGCGCACAGCTAGTAGATGCCGCTGCAGTAGCTTTAGCAGCGGCCGGCTGCTCCTACAACAGCTGCTGCCAGCAATTATACGTAGTGTAGCCACAAGCCTATCACTAAGTGTCTGACGCTTTCGACAGCATGGCTTCAAAAACTCCCACGTCAGAGAACCGTGCAAATCCCAAGCCGGGTCAAGTCCAAAAACGCGGTGCAACATGCTATGTTTCTCACTGCGGGCTGGCACATGAACCTCCTAAACGCTTGAAGGGCCACACCTTACCCCAACCCTAATACTCTAAAGTCCGTAAAGCTCTAGACTCTAGACTAGACCTTAAAACCCTAGACCCTCAAACACAAACCCTAAACTTCAAATCTCAAACCATAAACCCCGAATCTTAACAACACATGGGTGGTCGTCAAAATTAGGGCCCCTTTGTGGGTACCCTAAATAATAGGTGCCGTATTATAATAGGGACCCAAAAAGGGACCATAATTGTGACATCCACCCAGATAGAAAACATACAGGACCAGACCTTTTCCTCCTGAATCAGGCGGGGAAGTCTTCCCCATAACAGTACATAGGACCCTTTGGGTAACAACACATCAAGGTAGAATCTTAACCCTATGCCTCCAGGGACCTTATATTATGGGGTCCTTAAGGGGGTCTAGGGCCCTAACTATGAGGTCCTTGGAGGGATAGGGTAACAACACACCAAGGACAGGGCGGAGCAATCGTGGCGCCACTGTGCTGCGAGGAGGGGTCGAGCTCCGCCCCAAGGCCCGGCCTCCCCGAAGGGCTTTGGGTTTAGGGTTTAGGGTTTAGGGTTTAGGGTTTAGGGTTTAGAGTTTAGGGTTTAGGGTTTAGGGCTTAGGGTTTAGGGTTTAG